AGCGGTCATAATGGAGCACTCTGGGATAGCTCCCGGAGGCCAATACCATCAAATTGTGTCCACAGTACCCCAAATTCGAGCCGGCAACGTCGATTTAAGCGCTAATCCACTTGTCAGGGGTGGAGTAAGGAAATCGATTTTAAGAGCCCTTTAAGTCGAAATAAAGGGCTTCATTGTGTGGACGGGTGCAGGTTTAAATCGATTTAACGCTGCTAAATTCGACCTAAAGTCCTAGTGTAGACCAGGGCTAAGAGTATCTGTCTCAGATACCTGAAACACAGTTAATATCTGGATTCCAGTGGGAGATGCAGCAGTACATAAAATAGACAGTTGTTAAATTCTTTTGAAAAAGAGGACTAAATGTAACTTGAGACTGAAAAAACAAAATAAGCTTTTGAAATATTCAGTTGCTCAAAGTTAGTCATTAAAAAGTCAAGAATGTAAAGATTGGATTTTCTTTCATGATCCTACACTAGAGCTGGTTGAAAGGCAGAGTTTCTACTATGTGGGAAATTGTGAAAAGCTGAAAAATGTTTTTCTGTTTCAGAGCCAAGTATAAATTTAGCAATTTCCCATAGTGGGAAAAACTGGAAAAATATTGTTTGCAAATAATCCAAATGTTTCATTTCAAATATTTCTAAACAGAATTGACCCAAACTCTACAACTCCCAGCTCAGCTGTGGCTCCCAAGTTTTCTAGGCTGCCTGTTCCACAGCAAGGAGCCTAGAAGCCCTGGCAGCTCCAGCTTGAACCTGGTTCTTCAAGTTTTCAAGCTCCCAGCTCCATGGCAGGGAGCCTGGAAGTCTGGGAAAGTGCACATGGTGAGACTGACCTAGAGGTGTGGCCCCTGGAAGGGCAGGCTCCTGAGTAGCCTGCCAGGGGAGCTGGCAAGAAAGCAGGTAGGTTTCTCGTGGAACCCTGCTTGTATTTTGTTGGAAGTTCGTTGAAACTGCTTCATTGGAAAATTTCTGACCAACTCTATATTACGCTCTTTACAGAAGAGTGCGTAAATGTAGGCTGTATTTCATGGGTGCTATATTTACTGTCTTGACTCATATATTGATAGTTTATGTAAGGGAGCTGAAAACCTCCAAGGGTGAGTGGGTGACTCAGTTTATATTTATAAGGTTTTTTGATTGAGACATTTATTAAAGATGATGTCCTTGATTTCAAAACAGACTGAAAACTAATGCAAGAGGAGAGGGAGAAATTGGTGTTGGGGCTGGATAGAGGAGTTAAAGCATCCTGTGTGTCATGATGTGATTTATATTATATTAAAATAATACTGCAGAAATGATGTCCCTTATTATAAAATATTAGTTGGTTGAAAGATAAGTGATTTAGTGACATGTCTGTGTACTTTGAGATTATTCGACATACATTTTCCCTTTTGCATACCACATTCTAGGGTGGGTGGAGAGGGGTGTGTGTGTGCATATACATGTAGGTACACCACCACAAATTCTTGAGTTTTCTGTAGAAGTGTGTACTCTGTGTACGTAGGCTCTCAAATGGCTCCATCTCCATAGTATATGTAGGATTTGTTCAAGGTTATTACTTTAATAGATAAATTGTCTTTAAATCATTTTAATTAAAACATTTACATAGTAGTAACTGGATTGAATGACTCATCTCTAAGAATTTTAGAGCCAGGCAATGGCTTATCTGTTGCTGATTCATGCTTATAATGGGAAAATCCCATTTTTACTTTCCAGTACTTCTACCTACATCCTATGAAGAATGCTTTCTCATACTCTAAATCAGCACGATTGACATTTTATTAAATCAATATTTTTATAAAGGCTCCCATAACCTTTTATATTCTGCTCACATTATGCAAACACTTCACGTAAGTATTACATACTTTAAAAAGTGGTGGAAAGTTCTACTGTACTCATTTGCAAAGTACACTATAACAAATAATTTAGTTCATACATAAAAAAGGCATTCAAACCTTCTAGATTATTCTTAGCGTGCACACATCAGCAACATTATAAATAACCTAAAGGGTGAGGGAAAGCCTTTCATTATTCTTGGTTGCAAAATGTCCTTTTAACCATTGTTTAATTTTCATAACTATTTTGTGTGTAACTTTGCTCTTATACCCAGCTTTATATTGACCAGACTGACAAACACTCAACTGGGTGACACATCTGTCCACTGTTACCAACCAGCGAAAAAATAAAAATAATCTCCCCACTTGTCCAGTTTAAAAAGCTGCTTGTTCCAGCTCTACTGAATACAGGAATTCAAAGTGAAATGGGATGCTTGTTGTGCTCATGTGTATGATAAATACACTGAATGCTTTTCCAGTTCAGTTATTTCAAAGCAGCCCTGGTGTCTGAGCTTTGGGAACAAACCAAAAGATTTTGAATGCTTTTTTTACTAGTAATAATGAACCAAGATCATTATTAAAGCTCATTAAAATCATAGTAAGCTGCTAGGCTAAACCTTCAACATCACATCAGGTTCCAACGTATATTAAATGGCTAAAGAGAGTTTTGAGTGTTTAAAAACACTAAATTAAAACATTAATGTTTACTTTATCAGTACTGAAAACAATTATTAACAATACTAGACTCATGCAAGGCAAATTAGAAGCACCCTTAAGGTGAAGAAAAAATAATTTTCAGCTGAACTAAGACTTTTGTTTCAGAGTAACTCAATCACTGTTCAAATCATACATTGGTTTAAAATAACGATTGGGGACTCACTAGAGCATGCCATGCATCCACATCAGGATAGATTTCACAGTATAGGTTCATAAGTTGGATGATATTCATGGTTTAGCACTCCACCCACCCCAAATACCAAGCATATATTTGGGTCCAGTGTGGTGTTTAAATGGCCAAATAAACATTTATGGTTGGACCCTTTCATCCTAATCCCTAGGATTCAGCCCATTTCTGAATTCTCTTGCCCTTCCTCTGGAAGGGGGAATGAAAGTACATGTGAAGGGTCCCTCAGTTCACAAAGACTTACAGACTCCTCTTCTTCCTCCAGTCAAATAGGGTCTACCAGTCATCTCCCAGACTTCTTACTCATGTTTACTTCTTGGAGCTGGTCACTTTGAGCCTATTATCTGCACTGGCATTGAGAGTGCCACTGAGAATAGCTTAGCTACACCCACACACATGCTGCTGGTATCTGCCTTCTGTCAATCCACTAGGTTCTGCTGATCACACATCTGTCCCTGTGTCTACTAGACATGTCCATCTTTCCTGTAAAGTTCAGGGACATCATACTGGATTTTGTCGTGTGTGATTAGTGCACTACCTGTGTACAAAAAGATCCTAGCTCATGTCTATGAGGGTTTTATATACAGCAAGGGTAAAAAGGGGGGCCACAGAGCCCATTGCCTCTCTTCTCAGCCACCACCGCACAAGCCTGCCTAATGAAGGAGCAACCTCTCCTCCTCCTTCTCTGCACTCTGCCCAGGCATGACGTCTGCGTGCATTCTGAGCTGTCGTGAAGGAAGGAGAAGGGAAGGCTCTGAAGCAGCTGAGCCTGTACCTTACCTTCCCCTCAATCCTTCTCTTGTCAGGACCCCAGAGATTGTCTAGCTCCAGCTGTTCCACTTCTGTATGGGAATGAAGAGAATTTTGCAGTTGTCATTTTAATACAGACATCAGGGAATTAAGTTGTTCGTTGCATTGTGAAATGTGGAAAACTAAAATCTGTTCATATAAAGTCTTTGCAGTTCCTAAACAGGAAATGATCATGTCATAGTCACTTTTTTTTTTTAAATGCCTTAAAAGTTGAACCCTATTCAGAATTATCATTGAACACATCATCATCATTCTGGGAACATCCCTTTATTAAGCTGCTTAGTTTTGTGGGTTACCCTTGTAGGTCGTTGCCAGGTTAATGGATCAGTTGCATTGTAGGGTAGTGAATTAATTAGAACAATGCTAATATTCAGATATCGTTAGCAAGATGTGCAAATTGCACATGCAGAGTCTTGACGTTTAACAATACATAAATTAAGGATGGTCCAATAATTTAAGGAAATGAAACAGGTTAATTTAAAAACAGACTAAAAGGGTTGAAGGTTTATTGCTAACTGATGCTGCTAGCATTTTCCAGAATACCAGACAAAATGATGTTTGTGTGTGTGGGAGAATTCTGGAGAAACCAAAGAATTAAATTTGGCAAGGAAAGACCATTCACAAATGGAAGGTGGAAAAGAATTATAAAGAGGAGAGGTGGGACAACAAAAGACCCACCTGGATCTAACGTTGCAGCACAATAATAAGAGGTGTAGCAGGTCAGGATTGGGTAGCAATAGAAAGACTTCTTTGGGAATTTAGCACATCTCACAAGTTCTTGTAGGCAACAGTGAATGTTCCATATGAGCAAAGCCTTTTTGTTTGTTTTTTGTGCATTTTTTCCTGTTTCTTAATTCCATTTTGCCTAGTTTTCTAGTATCAAATACCAAAGTGACTGGAATCAAGGAAAAATACATTGAACACAGTATAAAATGTGGAATCATGCAACCATAACATAATTTTAACCTATGAGTGCTTGTCTGTTGTTTTAAAACAACAGATTTGTCTGCTTAATTGTTGCATTGTACCAGTCGGCATCTTTATTTTGCTTGTGACCAGAAAAGTGGGTGAAAAATCATGTTAACAAGACAAAACCTCTAGTTTTGAAGGGACAGTCAGGCAACTAATGACATCTGGAAAAATCTGAAGAACAACAGGGTCTCAGGGCATTTTTGAATGGCCTAGAATGAAGGAGGTCCTCTTCCATCCTCTTTGTACATCAAATCAGACAAAATGATCTTCCATATACAGTTTTGTTTAGAAATATTTTTCTAATATCCTACAGACCTGTTTTTGAGTGAGTCAGAAATTATTGTTATGCTGAAATTGGCTTAATCTGCACGCTATAATCTTAATATTAATGTTGTTTACCTTCCAATTACATCATATAGTTTAAAGAAGACAATAAACTATGAAAAGAATGATTAACATCTCTGTACTCTTATGTCATAGATGCTGTGAAGCCACTTGGCAGTTCTTTACAAGCATCTGCTGAATTACCATTAGCAGTCAATACTTCACCACCATCTGTACAAGCAGAATCATCCCTACCTCCTCCATATCAACTAATTAACATCCCACCTCTGGAGTCCTCATCTAGCCAAGAAGATCCTCAGGATTACCTATTGCTAATAAATTGTCAAAGTAAGAAGCCTGAACCTACGAGGTAAATGGGTGTTTTCATTTTTTTGCAGTAGTCGTTTCATTTGTATAGACCAAAGATGGTTACTCCTGCAAAGCATTTCTGTATATTACATGATTTCTTTTTGTTGAAGTTATTCAGCAGTCAAATGCACAAGTCTTGATTCTTTACCCGATCACTTTTGCTCTTCTCCCTATGTTCTGGGCTCGAATTTCTTGTTTTAATAATATGAAATGGTAGCATCAGAGCTAGCATCTTTGTTTTTTTGTTGTTTTTCTAAATTTTTTAAATTATTTGCTGATAAAATGTACCAGACTAATAGTCCCGGAGACCAAATATTTCTGTATATCTCTGGAATTAGGTGCAACTTGGATAGCAAAGATGGATCTTTCTTCTCACCACTCTCCATTGTGCCTCAAACCAGCTCTAGGATGGAGAGGTGGCCGTTTAGTACCTTGTACTTCTACCATGACTACTATCAGGGAAGCCAAATTACCACCAGTTACAGTGGTGGCTCGGTGATAGGGATGAAAATCAACCAAACCTGTACTGAGATCACCAACTCATTTAACACAGGCTGCGAAGCAACCCTCAAATGATCAGTTTTTGGTTATTACTGACCTGGATCAAATTCAAACAAGAGATCTTGTGATGAGACACAATTTATCTTGAACCATCCAGTCTCTGCATCCTGAGTTTTGTGAGCTGTTAGTGTGTTTTGAATAATATAGAAAAATTAGTATGATCTAATTATGTCCAATTTAATATTAAATAGATTTACCCACTCTGTTATCTCTCCTAAAGAGTAGGAAAACTGGCTAGTATTTTATAATATATATAAAAAAATCTGACCAGCTCTGGTAACTGATGTACCCAAGTAACTGCTGCTTCTCATTTTAAATGGAAATGTAATGCCGCCTGTATAGGAGGATGTAATGTGTAGTGGTAAATATCCAGGAATTATTGCTTTGTTTCTCAGAATGGTCCTTGGAAAACATTAGAAACCTCTGAAGCAGAGATGCTTTGCTGTAACCATTTAAAATAATGGTCCCTTGTGTATTTCTAGAGAAGCTTGCTCATTATTCTCTTGATTGCAAAGGGACACATTTAAAGGCTAAGCAGAGGTCTGTGAAAGTGTTTTTCCTGAGTCTTCCACACATTCACTTAGAGCAATACCTTGTCAATGGTGTGACTCTCTGCCAGGTTTCAGTGTTACTGTGCCATGCATTCTGGAGCACCACAGAGTAAGGTACAATGGTCCTAGGAGAAGAGGAGTATTTCTTAGTCTTTTTGTTGCTGACTGCAACCAACTCCCAAAATACCTCATTTAGGGCAGGCAAATAAGCCTGCTCTCGTCCAGTCCATGGAAGATGAAGATGGTGGGCAGCCCTCCCACACTCAAAACAGTGCTTGGAGTGGAGCGTGCCCACTGGCTAACTCGTAAAATATTAAAGGGCAGAATGTCCACCTGTGTCTTGCAACCTGATGGGAAGGAATCTGTGTAATATGGAGCAGTAGTAGTAACTCTATATTGAAGGTTCAAGCTACTAGTTTTAGACATTCCACTACTAACTTCCTCCTCCCCCCCAAAAACCCCAATCTTTCTGAAATATATCACATCTCTTCTGAGGGTAAAGATTTTCTGAACAGTTTGATTTTAAAAAAAGAGTTTTAAAGGTAGTGTTTTGAATATTTAGCTGTAGTTTACTTTCTAAATACGATTCTAATTCCTTTTGGCTCATTGTATCACCAGAACGGCTTGGCCTAGAAACTCCAGATTGTTTTTTTTAATTGGCTCTGGTGACAAGAAGTCTTCCTCAGCATTTCAAGGGGCCTAGTTGTGGTAGGGGCAGGTAAAGAGTTGTGTAAGTGCTATGAAGAACACTTTTTAGAAATATAAGTTGAGCATCTTCTGACACCAGCTGCTGAACGGAGTCAGAATTGAGAGTATGGGTTGAGATGGGAGACTAGGAAGAAATGTGGAGGAATAGGAGTCTGGGAGGGACCGTGGAGAATGGGAGGGGATTGAGGGAGGTAGCCAATGAATTTAGTTTATTCGTTTATTGTGTGATGTTATGTCATATATAATCATTGTATGCTAAATAGAGTTGAGTGATAGGATTATAGAAGTATAAGATTGATCAGTAGTTAGAAAGGATAATTATGTTGGAATGTGAGGGTGGAGAGTGTATGAATGGACTGCATGTCACCATGATTCCCTGAAGGTCTGGATGAGACAGGAGGGGAGAGAGAGAGAGAGAGAGATGGGGGGGCAGGATGCGAGTTGGACTTGGAGATGGGAAGATGAAAGAAAAAGGTGCTCAGGGAGCTGTGGTTCATTATTTTGCGGGTTGTGGAACGTGTTGAATATATGGTGTTACGAGTATTGGAAGACCTTGTTGTTTGGTATGTTATAGTGAGGCAGTAGCACCACTAATAGTGTGGGTTGAGGTGAGCTTGCTGTTTAACATCTAACTGTTTGTCCTTGTTTTAATAAAATATGTAACTGTTACTGCAAAATAATGTTATATGGTAGTTTTAGCCCCAACTCAGCAAGTGAAGCACTTGCCTAACGTTGGGCATATATATTTTGCTGAAATGGGGCCATAGCAAATTGGAAATAGACCCCTTGATAAGGAACTAGAACAGTGGGCTGCAGGTTGCCCACCACTGAACTAGAATTTCACAATATCTTTGCAATTTATGTTATGTATTTATGCAGATTATAAGGGGTCATATTTACGATTGGGTGGGGAGGGGAAACTTGTATGAGCGCACAGGAGCAGTGGTGAGTGAAGAAGGAATACATGGCATGACTGAAGTGGCTACTTTCCTTTACTGTTAGTTTCTAGACTTTCATATTTTTTGCAATTTTTTTAAGAAGTAGAATAATTAATCTCTGGATTTTATAATACAGGTTCTAGGTGTTGGTGGACTCCATTGATGCATCCTTTTGGCCTTCAGTATTTCTTAGCAAAGTTTTTTAACCATATTTTTTAAAAATAAAACATAATAATAGTTATAATACAGTAGGCAGATGTTATAACATTAGAAAAAAATTACAAGTTAAAGTAATTTTCATAATTGTTTAGTTTGGGAGTTGGTTTACCTTTTAGTTCATCCTTCAACAGTGGCCAGTGTTCATGGAAAAATGAGGAGAAAATATCTTTCTTTAACATATTGCTTTTTAGAGCATCTAGGAATCAGTGCATCCCGGTACATTTCGGGGAGGGGGACTAAAGGCAAATAGTTTCTAAGTTATTTCTTTTTATTTATTATTTCTGGGTTTTTTTTCTATTTTTTTTTATTATTTTCTATCTTTTTATTAATTATTTCTATTTCTAGGTTATTTCTTTTTTGGGATTTTCAAGATTCTTGGCATTTGCATCTTCAGTGCCACCATACATATATTTTATTTATAGATACTTTAAAAATGTTGTACAATTACTGGAATTGGGGGTATGTTAGAAATGATAGTAGTTGTATTAATAATCATCATCATTTATTTTACAGTACAGTTCTATGCCTTGATCACTTTGGACCATCCTTAAAGTTCTAATAGTTAAATAGTAAAAAATGTCATTACATTTCACTGCAGGGTTAAATAAGATTGAGAGTTCATCTTTGATCTTACAAGAAAAATTGCATCCATAGAGTCTGTTTGAAATCTTTAAATTTTTGGCTGGTTGGCAGAGATACATACAAAATAACAGCTGTTATCTTGCTGATCTTACTCCATTTTTTCCTGTTTATAAACCAGCCCAGGGTCATCCTTTATCTCTGAAGAAGGGAAAGAATATCTACTACTGGAGGATTTTGAAAGTAAAAAGATTCCACTGCAGTGAGTGTATAATTGTTGTTTTTTAGTCTGTGTGAGAAATCAAGCACAGAGCCATAACCTGCTTGAAAATTTCATATTTGAAACATGTCCTGCATGGTCTGCTGTGAGTTTTAATAAAAGAAACAATATAACCCAACTTCAGTTAATCAAGATAGGGCTATGACAGCACCTATCAAGGCTGAACTCACATTTCTACCATGCATGCTTCTCACACTGCTCTTTTACCATTCCTGAGTGCTGATACACAATAGCTGCTTTGCTCTTATACCTTGTCTGGAGTAGTCTCTTGGCCCGGTTGTATTGATCCTCACGGAGGGAAAGCTATTGGTGCAGGATAAGTGACCAAACTACTTACAGTGTATTAGAAAGTGGGGAGTTCAATCCTCAGTCTGCTTCAAAACTGAATATTTTTGTAAAATTATTTGTGTTCCCAATCCTCTTGTCAGCAGCTAGTTTTGGGAAGAGGAACCAAGAGCTAGTTAAAGGGACAAAAATGTGCCTTTACCTACAGTAGCTCCTCACTTAACGTTGTAGTTATGTTCCTGAAAAATGCGACTTTAAGCGAAACCATGTTAAGCGAATCCAGTTTCCCCATAAGAATTAATGTAAATAGGGGGGGTTAGGTTCCAGGGAAATTTTTTTTTTGCCAGACAAAAGACATGCACACACACACACAATAAGTTTTAAACAAACAATTTTAATACTGTACACAGCAATGATGATTGTGAAGCTGGTTGATGTGGTGAAGTCAGAGGGTGGGATATTTCCCAGGGAATGCCTTACTGCTAAATGATGAACTAGCAATTGGGTGAGCCCTCAAGGGTTAACTCATTATTAATGTAGCCTCACACTCTATAAGGCAGCACGAATGGAGGGAGGGGAGACAGCATGGCAGACAGGCACACAAACCGTGTGTGAGAGAGAGATGAGCATTTCCCCTTTAAGTACACTGTCCCCACTCTTAAGTACACTGCCTTGTTAAGTTAATCAGCAAGCTGAGACCACAGCTGCTGCCAGAATCTCCATCTGTCCTGAGCCCTGTCGTTTGTCCCTCCTGCTTTATGGAAGATGGGGTAAGCGGGGTGCAGGAGCAGGGGGGAGGGGGACACACCCTGACATTAGCCCCCGTCTGGCCCCTGCACAGCAAGCAGGAGGCTCGGGGAGCAGCTTCCAGGCAGAGGGCAGGAGCAGCACATGGCAGTGGGGGAAGGGACAGCTGAACTGCCCGCAATTGATAGCCTGCTGGGCGGCTGCCACACAGAGAACTTAGGGGCGCTGCTGGTCCACCCTTGTTCCAAGCCCCCACCAGCTAGCTGCAACGGGCTGCTCTTCCTGCAAGCAGGGAACAAAGCAGGTGGCTGCCAAACGATGTTATAAGGGAGCATTGCACAACTTTAAATGAGCATGTTCCCTAATTGATCAGCAACGTAACATCGTTAACCGGGATGACTTTAAGTGAAGAGCTACTGTAGTTCAAAGCCTTGTCAGGGGCATGCATACTCCCACAACTACACAGCTACATGGAGAGTGGAAGCCAGTTTGAGTATGGTCCTATATCCCATCACCACCTCTGTGGAGCCAGGTCAGGACTTGAAGGATGTACAGGACTCTCTTCATGGTACCATGGAAAGAGAGGCTGTCTTAGTGTGGGAAAAGAAATGGGGTTGACACTATGTTGCCAGTGCTTGGGACTGGTAATGCACCCGTGTAAGGACAATGTGTAGTACAACCATGATGCTAGGAGTTGGTGTGTCAGTCCTACTTTGGTAACAGATGTGGCTAATTTTTTTCCTCTTGCTAAGTCAGTCTTTTTTTTAAACAAATAGGAGTGCAGTGATGCAGTGCAGTGATAGTAATCCGTACTGTCTGCTGATGCACTATCAGAGCCAGAAAAGTTATTCTTGACCTGCTATGAAAGTGTATGGAAAAGTTATAAAATTTTGCTGTTCTGCTTGAATTGAAGAAATGCACCCTTCACTAAACATCCTGCTTCTAGTGTCAGTTTGGGAAAATAATAGTGTTAATTCTGTTCACAAGCTCTGCTCACAACCCTGGCGCTCACAACCCTGGCTGTCCCAGTCTGAGATGCCATTCGCAGTACATTGTGCAGATTTTCATAATTATACCAGTTCTTCCATGCCTGTTTTGATCAGCAGTGAAAGTTGTTATTGACATTTTAATGATCATTTATGCTTCAGAGATTGTCACACTAAAATGAAAAGGGGCAATTTACTCCTGTTTTGGCACTGTTGTTGCAGCATGTCTTCAAACTTAGACACACACAGATCAGTTACGCCAGTTCACATTTTGAAGGTTATATGCAGATCCATAAGGACTAGAGACTCAGTTTGAAAAGGATAGTTTTTGAAAATGCTTAGATTCCAAAGCACAAGTTGCAGCCACTAGGGAAAAGGGAAAGATGGCTAGGCTGCCTCAAGTAGTCCAAAGCTGATCCCTCTCCCTGTTTCCTTCTGTTCAGTTTTCATGAATGTGCAGGGACAAGAAACAGTGAGGAAAAGCATTGTTACATTTAGAAGTAATTAAAGTTTAATATGGTAGCATTACTAGTTAGCATATTAAGAGGTATCTAGGTTAGCAGGATCTGTACTCTACTAGAGTGGCATCCATGCACTGTTATTGCACTACTAATTTTCAATGATGGTTTTAGCTGACTGTTTCCTGCATGTTATGCATTTATAGAATTACATAAAATGCAACACAGCCTCATTAGGCGGTCTCTCAAAGGTCCGTGTTAAAGGCTCCTTAGTGCTCAGAATTGGTAAGTAAGATTTTAAAGATATTTGTAATACTTTTTGTGCACAATATTTTAAAGCCCACTTGGGTTTGGGAGCATAGGTAAACAGAGAATATGTAATGGACAACAATGATTGTAATAACTGCATAATCCATGAATGGAAGAGTGAAAATTAAAGTGTGCTGTATTGCTTGCTACATGAATTTCTATTCTATGGTCATATCATGCTATGCTGTGTGTTTCTTGCTTTAATTTGTATTTTATTTTTGTAGCTTTTTTTAATTACTTGAAGTTTTTGAAGGTGTGTGCGTGTGCGCACTGAGACTAATAATCTTTGATACTATAGTTTGACTACTGTTTCTACAGGATGGAAAAATATGACTTTGAGACCTTTTGTTTGTCCCTGTTATGGTATATAAAATTATGGGGCAGATCCCTGTCATCTTTATTCAGGCAAAACTCGCAGTGCTTTTGCTGGGAGTTCTGTTTGAATACGCACTAGCGAATCAGGTTGTATATTTGCAAGTGTGTAACTTTTTTGTTTTCACAGCTCGTAGTATCCAAGATGTTAAATGTTGTTGTTTTATCTTTAGTCAAATATTTACTCCAATAATTTTCTAAACTGCCGTGTAATCAGTTACGTGACTGGAGTAGTAGGGGTAAAAGCTGTACTTATTACAGTGACATGCTCAAATTGTGCCACACAGGCAACAGTGGATTCCAGTGATACTTAAATTAGAAAAGAATGTGGTGTATTCTATACCAATATGTAGGCATTGTGGGTAAATGCTAAGTTTAAGGGTCTGTTTACCTATTAGTGTTTTCGTTTATTTTGACTTTTGTGTTAAACTAACTGTCAGGCTTATCAACTGAATTTTTGTGCCACAAACAATGTGATGATGGAATTCTACACAAGAGGGGAGAGAGAGAGTGAGTGCAGCCACTGCTTTTTTTGGCATTGTAGGTAACAGTTCATTGATAGGCGTTGTCTTCGTCAGAGACGTAATTTCCAAAGAAGCCCCATAAAACCCACTGTTAGAGTTTTAAAAAAATAAATAAAAAAAAGTCAAACAATGCTGTCTTGACCCTGGTCAAGACCAGAATACAGGCTTGTTCTCCTTGTCCTGTAATTTTTTTCTTCAGACTAACTGCTTCAGCTTTTCTGCCTCCATTTCCTGTTTTACTCTATACGTTGTCTTCTGTATGCTTAAAAAAAAAAGTGTATGGTCTTTAGGTATCAACTTAAAGCTGTCGCAAGTTACAAGGCTTTTTTTTTTTAAAATTGTATTTCCTTCATATTTATTAGAGGAAGCAAGTTACCATAAGCCCAGAATTTTTGTACTGTGTCTGGACAGTTAACATTGCCATTAATGCGCTCTTCATATAGTATGCAACATGTTTTCTTAAAAAAAAACCCAGCCAAACAAGAAGCCCTCCAAACCAGTCTGAGACTTTATTCAAAGTCACGTACTTGTGAAAACCCCAGCTGCCTAGCTGTTATGATGAATATATACACACACGTGTGTGTGCATGTGTACATGTATAATTACTTTAGATCTTTGTTCTAAATATTTTTGTTTAATTTTTTTTTAGAATTAAGAAATTTAATGACTTTTAGTTGCTTACATTTTAAATGTTCTGTTGTTCTTTACAGTTGAAATGTGTTTCTTTATACATCAAAATTTCAATCTTATTTTGTTTAGATTGCATGCTGACTCAGCAAAGTCCATCTGTTCTGAAACTGACTGCAATGATAATGTATCCTCCCATAAAAATTCTGCTCCATCATTGAGCAAGCATGCAGTGAACGGCTTTTTTCAGCAGCAAAGTGCCTATGACTCTCCGCCACCTCGAGCGGCATCAGTGTCCGTAGACTGCAGTCTTTATAACCTGCCTAGAAGTTATTCACAGGATGTTTTACCAAAGGCAACATCTCCATCTGGGACTGATGCAGAAGGAGAGCAGCATGTTTTCAGTACCCCTTCTGCTACATCATTAGATACACAAATGAGGCATTTCTCCATTAGTTATGACATTCCCCCAACACCTGGAGGTACTTATCAGATTCCACGAACTTTTCCAGAAGGAACTTCAAAGCTAGAGACTATTCCAGATATTCCTCCACCTCGGCCACCAAAACCACATCACACTTCGGATCGATCTCCCGTGGAAACTTGTAGCATTACTCGTACTGCCTCAGACACTGATAGTAGTTATTGCATCCCTACAGCAGGATTGCCACCATCACGCAGTAATACCATTTCCACTGTAGATTTGAATATATTTCGTAAAGGTCAGTAGTTGGTGTCTCGACCTTGCTTTTTCATGATTCTTTTGTTTCAATCATTTTGTGCAATAGGCTGAGCTCTTTAAAGGAACGGACCTAAGGGAATTATACACTCAATTTCTCTTGAAAATAGGGTGCCTAAGTCTCTTGGAATGCTTTGAAAATCTCGGCCAAAATGCAGACCATAAAAAGGCTTTATCAAGCTTTTTAAACATCAGTAATTTTAAATTAATTTTTAAGTCTTCTTTAAATATGTTGCATAGAAACTTACTTCTAGTGACCTCATCCAAAATATAGGCATTTTATTAAATTTTGATGGTCCAAGTCTCAAGAATTTATTAAGATTGTCTAGCGCAGCCTTCAAATATAATATTGACCAAATTATTTGCAGACAACATACTTCATATTTCTGTATATTTTATATTGTAATCCTATGTGGTAGTGGTAGCCCTGTGATAAATGGTATTTATCATGGACCTTCGCTGCTTCACCTGCCTGGTGCACTCTAACAATGTGCCCTCAAATTTTTTACATCCATGTGCAGAATGAATTTTGTTAAGTGCACCAATATGGAGGTGATGTGTGGCGGGGGTGGGACCAAGGGGTTCGGACTGTGGGAGGGGGCTCAGGGCTGAGGCAGAGGTGTGTGGGGGGTGAGGGTTCTGGGGTGGGGTCGGGGATGAGGGGGTTGAGGAGCAGGAGGGGGCTCAGGGCTGGGGCAGAGGGTTGGGATGCAGAGGATGAGGGCTCCGGCTAGGGATGAGGGCTCTGGGGTGGGGATGGGGATGAGGGGTCCAGGGTGTGGGAGGGAGATCAGGGTTGTGGCAGAGGGTTGGGGTGCATGGGGTGAGGGCTCTGTCTGGGGGTGCAGGCTCTGGGTGGGGCTGGGGATGAGGGGAAGAGAGAACTCCGAGGATGGGGCCAGGGGAGAGGTGCCTCTCCCCACCTGCACAGAACTTGATAGCCTGCTGCGTGGCCGTGCAGTTTAGAGGGAAGTTAGCACTCTAAACCATTTTTGCCAGCGCAGTGGCTCATGTTCCAGACCTACGAGTAGCTTCTAAACCAAACTGCTTCTTTCCTTCACATGTGGAGTTCCCTCTTCCTGTTCAAAGGTGCAGTGGCTCAAGGCCCAGCAGTGGTAATCCTCATGAGTAACAGCTGTAAAGTCAATGGCTGTTCTAAAATTGTTCTGGAAAAATGACTTGCTTGAGTTCCATGTTTCTTGAGTGTCAGTGATCCGATAAAATATTTACTTAATTTACATATATCTTTTCTACTTGTCAAACTCACTTTGGTTTGCAGAAGTCAAGCGATCTTATTTTCTTTTTCTCACTAGTAATAAAGATCCTGTAGGCAAGTTATAACTGGAGTTGTATAGATGTAACTCAGGGCAGAATTTGGATACTGTGTGTTTGCAAAAATATAATGTGCTGTAGGGTCTTTCTCTGGTGGTGATACCAGAGAAGTATACCAGAGAAGGCAAAAGGGGGGAAAAACCCCAAACCCTCAGCTTGAGCTAGAGTCGATATTCAGTTTGTATGGCTGATAGGTAGAAAAAAAATCTCATCATCTCCTCTTTCTATCAGAGCATTATAGACTCCTAGATGAGTGGATAACACGTCTCTGGCTTTGTAGATCCAAACCAGCCATGGATTCAGCCCAGAAAGCTGTCAAAAAGGGGCAGTTGAGGATTTCTCCTCACACCGGGGAATCAATGGATGTCACAAAACTGGCATAGTCAACACTGTGCTGCCCCTCCACCCCACACAACCACCGCTCTGCAAATGGGGTGCCTTGGGAGTGGGGTGGAGCACATGATATCCAGCTGGCTGCTACTGGAAAAACAGAGCAACTCAGAAGCTGTTCTAAGTTACACCGGGGCTGATCTGGTTTTAGCCATCCCAGATTGGGGGATCAGAAAAGTGGTTTAGAGCCACTCTTCCACCTCCCTCCTCAACTGGTGCTGAGTTTATACTTGACATGGCTGACACCTGAGCGCTGTATATATGTTTCTTCTTTAGACCAGTACTTCTTGCTCTTCAAGATTGTGACAGGGCACTCTATTCGCTGCAGGATAGCTCCTCCTCCTGGCTGTTCTGGGGATTAGTTCTGCGAGGCAGACTCCCCTTCTGCCAGCTGCACTCTGTCTCTCTGTCTGCAGCCCCTGTCGCTCCAGGAGCTACTGCAGCCTCAGCCCTCCAGCCAAATCACGGTTTCCCCTTCCTGGGTGATTTTTCAAAGTCTCTTGCCACAAAAGAGCATGAGGCAATCCTCACGTCTGCTGCCCTTGCAATGTGACTCCAGTAATGTCTCAGACAGTCTTCCTGTTCACTGCCCCATGGTGCCGCTCCCTGGGTGGCTGGTAGGGGAACCTGGGCCCACCATGTACTATGGATTCCAGCCTAGGGACCCTACAACACACAGCCAAGGTCTGTTCAGTCCCCAACCTTGCAGCTTGCTCCGTGGGCTGCTTCCTACCCTGCGTCCCACAGGCTCTCTTGTCCACTTCAGTGTAGACCCTTCTCTGAGGGCCAGACCTCCCCAGGGTTGTACTCTTTCCTTGGGTTCCTTCCTTCCCTTCCTACTAAAGAGGAGGTCACTGCAAACTTCCTCCCGGAAGCCTTTTCTGATGCCAACTTCCTATGTTTATGCTAGCTCAGCCCACCTTTGCTCAGGTGAGCTTCTCTATAATCAGGGCTTTCCACTCAGCCTATATCTCCCTCTTTTGCTGCTTAATTGGCTGCTTGGGCTCACCTGGTCTAATTCATTCCTCTCAGAACCAAAGCGGGGAGTACACCCCATCACAAAGGTATTGAAGCGTGGTCTTCAGACACCAAGCTTGTTACTACTAATATTTTTCCAATTAAAGATAGTCTTCAAAAGGAAAAAGCGTGTAGTTGTGGAAATAAAAGAACTTAAACTCTGGAAACAAAGTAGCAAAGCATAGGGGGTCTTCATTAAGGATATCTCTATTACAAAGTATCATTAAAATCCTAGAAATCTTTTAAAAAAGAGGGTCAAATAGTGGAGAATTAATTCTGTTTGTTATTATCAAGTTCATTAAAGGAGTTTAACACTTGACTTTTTTTATATCAATCATTCAGTATAAGGTTAGTTTCTAATGGCCCCATCTCGCTCCTATTGAGGTAATTAGAAAGAGTCCCATTGACTTCTGTGGGGACTGTTGTAGGCCCTATGAGTCTAGATAAACCCATACCTTTATTTCTGCTGGTATAAAAAATATTTTTACCTCCATATGATTAAATATATGTAATGTAGTTTGTCTAGAAAAAAATGGAAATATAATAATTAAAACATGTTTGTATTTCTGGACTTTAAAGTATACTTATTATTTTTCATATGAGATTTAACACATTTTTGGATATTTCTTAACATCCATCTGCTTCTGCCTAAGGAAAATCTTGCTACTTACAGTTTTTCTGTCTTTTTTCTATTTCAAGCTAAGATTAATTAAATATCAAAAGCAATATACATTTCTGTTTTTAATAACAATGGAAAGGCTGGGAGATGGAGGTGTTACATCTCCAGTCAAATATAGAGAAATCCATTCCATTAATCTTGTAAATGTCTCTGATGTTGCTCTAATGGATGTCTTAGCTTTCTGAGACAACTGAGCATAACAATGTAATGTTAATATAAATTATTAAACCAATTAGTGTAATATTAATTATATGTGAGGGATCTTAAAAGAGAAGTCCTTTGGGGAGAGGAATTGGGTAGGGGAGGGAACATTTTAAGGCAAAATACAAAAAAGGAATTGATGATATAGTTATACGGATATAATTTTAATGTTTTGTTTGATGGAAAGAATTAATTAGTATTTCAAAATTACAACATTTAAAAACAGACCTTGGCTGTGTGTTGTAGGGTCCCTGGGCTGGAACCCGTAGTAGAGGCAAGAACTAGAATTTCTGCCTCATTGGAAATATATTTCATTCTGGTTGGAAATGTGGAATTTCACATGAAATGGAAATCTTCAAAAAATTCCATTTTGGAAAAACCAAAATGGATATTTTTGAAAATTTCCAGATTAGCTGGTCGACTGGTTTGCCAGTGCACCAGCGAGCCAGTTGGAGAGCTGGCCTGCCAAGTTGCTGGAGGCCCTGGAAGGCTGGGCTGCCAAGGAGATAGGCAGGTGAGCTGGCAGGAAATCAGGTAAGTTTCCTTTGAAAGTTTTGATGGAATTTACGTGATTCCATGGAATATTTTAACTCTGTTGAATCAGCAATTTCCAATAGAAAAGCATTCTGTCGAAAAACCTCTGACCCACAATTCTATTTTTAAAGTCACTTTTCCAAGTAGAACTGCATGTGAAACACTGAGATCTCAAAATCTGTTATGATAGATATAGATCAAATATAAATATAGATCAAACAAAATATAGATATTTTGTACCATTTAGAATGGGACCTCCCAGCTTTTCAACAGGATGCATCAGTTGTTTCTGGCCCTGGAAAATGTCAGTATCAGATCTTTAAAGTGTGACTTATACAGTAGATAGAAGCTTTGCTGATAAGTAGTGCAGGCATCCCAAACTTAGGTTGGCAAAACCTTTATACCACGCTGCACCATCGTATAGCAGATAGTAAACAACTACAGAAACTGTGGAAAACTGGTCTAATGTACGTACATGACAGGTACTGAGATGAGAAAATAAATACCTACTTTTACCCCTTTCATTCTCTAGATATTAGTTCTCAAGACTGCTATGATATTCCACGATCATTTCCAAATGACAGAGCTAGCTCACTGGAAGGCTTTGTAAGTATGATTTGATCTGACTTGAGACTATACTGACAAAACATTTGCATGTTCTGAGTTCTGTAGTACAAAACCAGGGTGTACACAGTATTTTTAGTAGATGAGATTAAAACATGAATCTGATTTCACAGCTGCTAGCATAACTGATTATTTTGTTGTTAAAGGAAATGTATGTTAATTCTAGAAAAACAGAAGCACGTTCACAGTGGGAAGTGTTTCAAGTGAAGAACTGGATGAAAACTATGTCCCAATGAATCCTAACTCTCCACCACGGCAGCATTCCAGCAGCTTTACTGAACCCATCCAAGACACAAACTATGTACCTATGACACCAGGCACATTTGATTTTTCATTATTTGGAATGCAAGTCCCTCCACCCGCTCACATGGGTTTCAGGTCCAGTCCAAAGACCCCTCCCAGAAGGCCAGTACCTGTTGCAGAATGTGAACCACCACCAGTGGATCGGAACCTCAAACCTGACCGAAAAGGTGAGAAAAACATGCTGTGGAAGTTGCTTTTACTCTATAATATAATGATTTAGTGGTTCAAATTTTCATACCAAAATCAAGATAGTATGAAATTATTGTTTTCCAAGAATTCAGACAAAAAAAAGCAGAACTAAGAATCTGAAGAAAGCATTGGTCATTTAAAATTACCTGAGTAATAAAACTGAATATTTCTGTAGGTTTAAAGATAATAGTTGTACATGTTTTTATTAATCAAGAGGTGGCACATTTTTTCCTGTTATAAACTACAAAGTACCTGTAAACAGACTAAGAGCTGTGAGTTAGTTCTTATACATAATAGGATATAGATGGCCTGCTCGTTATGAAGGGAGACCACATTAACATTTTGATGAAATATATCTCCATAAGCATAGTAACATGTTACTAGGTAAAAGGGCAATAAATCATTGCATGATTTAATGATAAAATGGTTCTTACATTTCTCTTTTAGTGTTATTTTAGGCATATGCTGTTGCTGAAAATATTATTGTTACAATGTCTCAATAATTAATTGTACCATGGGAGAATGAATTGCATGTTTGTGTCCTGCTGCTTCTAACAAATCCTATTAAAAGTACCCAGTGGTTATAGAACATTTCTTATTTAAATTTTCTTTTAACTAATGAAAAACATGAATATCTACATTAAATCTAGAAATGTTAAATAATAAATAACGTTAGGCCTTACTGCACTCAGTAAAAGCAAGGAAATTAGACCCTCCCTGCTCATTCTCAGTTCACAGTTGGGACTGCCCATCATCTTGACTTCAGTGCTTGCGTAGGACAGAATCACATAGGAAGCAGATTAGGTTGTTGGCCAGGAAGTTGCAATACAACCCTTGGGATCCAAATAGAGCTCAGAGGCTACTAAATCACACCAGTGCAGGGCTCTCAAGCTGCATTTGCCTCACACTAAGAGCTGGATGCCAAGATGTGGCCCTGAATGTCAAGTAATGCCTGTGAAGTGCACTGAGTTAGGATTGATTCTGAATTTCCCTGCTTTTATGGAGATTGCTAGATCTTAAATATCTTAACATTTAAAAACATTTCCGTTTTGGTTTTAAGAGCTACTTAATGTGTGGGAGACACTGTAGTGTGTTTGAGGAAGATACAGCAACTTCAGTGACAAAAGTGCATGAGCAAAAACAACTAATAAACCAAAAAACAGAATTTAAGAGAAGTCTGAGAAATGGGCCCAAACGCTTACCTTACTTAAAGGTTAATCCCCTGTAGCATTCCTATAAGATGTTAATTTCCATGCAGCATTATGGTGCACTGGATTTACTTTCCTTTAAAGGAAGTTATACTCTTGGGACTAAAATAGTCCCTCTTCAAAAACAAATAAAAAGTCTTTCTCTTGTAGTGTGTAGATGTGAGACATTTGCATAGAGAGATCAAAGCAGCTTATGATTTTCAATCTCACTGTAATGTTTCATCAATATATGGGCCTTGTAGATAAATGGTTATGTCATTTTTTGCATGCTGAATAGTTTTTTTCAGACTTTGAAATTTGTAATTTTCTTTTCTTTGCAAGAAAATACAAAAAGACATTAGCTCATAAGATCAAATATCAGCAAGGTTGGTTTCTAAATATATATAATTTGAAAATGAGTTTCTTAAATATCTGAAACCAATAATATTTACCAGCTTGAAAAATGGCTGAACTGATGTACATGTATTATTTAGGGGAGAAATGTAATCTGTGCTTAAAAACTCACATGCCCCCAAAATTTTAGTAATTTAAATTTTCAACTGGTATATTTTGTGGAAGCAGCCAGTGATCTGACTAACACTGATGCTGTCAGGATGATGAAGTAGAAGATCTCTGCATAAAATGGGAAGTGCCAAGTCCTGTAGCTGACTAGCAGTGTTCAGAATACAAAACATAGCCTTCCTCAGAATCTTGACTTCCTGCTCACATCTAACTGTTTTCATGTTGCCCGACAATAGTTACCTTTAACTGTTAAGAAATATTTGACAGTAACACACTGAAAAAAATTGATATTGGAAAATATTTTTTAAATAAATACAATTGATATTGGAAAATATTTTTCCAATTTTAATTAAATAAATTAAAAACATTTTTCCTTGACTTGTTAGTTTGCCTACTTTTACCAACATAGCTTGTATTGACCTTCACAAAAGGTCAATCTCTATACTAAAAAGTTTGCCACTTTATTGTTGGCAATACAGTGCAACCACATAGATCTCTGATAAAGAGATGTTGCTTTTTTGTATCTCTTCTTGAAATGACAGCATTCTAAAAAATGATATCATCAGCCGAATCTGGGAAAGCACTTAAACATGTTAAGAATCTGAGAAGTCCTGTTAACTTCAATGAATGGAGAAAGGAGATCATCAGGTTTACTGATATACTAATAAGTGTACTGTTCTACAACACAGCTCATGTTGATTGGCTCTGCCCATTTTCTCCTGGCAAGGATGGCCTTTATAAAACAGCTTGAAAACAAATTAGTTTTATTTTTTTAAAGAACTTGAGTTTTCATTTAAAAATTATATAATAGTCAAATACTGCCGACTATTTGTAAAGTAAAACTATATCCATCAGAAGAGTAAAATTTACAACAGTAAACTTTTAGGAGATGAGGGAAATGGGAGAAAAGGGGAATATGCTTTAAAAACAAACAAACAAAAACCCTGATTTTGTTAACCAAGGATGATAATATGTCTGATTTTATCACTGTGAAATTTTACCTTATTTACTAACCCATAAAATAAATTCAGTCTTATAAACTAGTTCTCTCCCTTCTTGAATATGAACTTATTTAAACATTCCAATTAGGACAAAAAGTCCATGTTCTAAGTCGTCATATCCTTTTATTGTGAATGGTTATAACAAATAGTGATAACTAGGGTATTTATTTTGTCATATTTAAATGTCAACAGATGAAATTCCCACCCTATAGAATATTTTTGAGTCATTTCAAGTGCCATTAACATAGCACAAAACTACTATAAATTTCCGTGGTCCTTTGTATAACTGAAACGAGCATACATTACAAAGATTTGCCATGCAGCTTTTTCAACCTTCAAGTTATTGTAGTAACTTCTCCTAGCACACTGTTTCTACACTTGTAGTTTAAAGGTATTTTGACAGTATTCCATTTTGAGTTACTCCAAGTACCTAGAGGTTAATGGACAGGCCAGGCATTTCAAGAAAGCCCAGCCAGAATTAGGAAAAAGAAAAAAAAATGTGAGGAATGTGGTACATAAAATGTTTGTTGAGTTTTCATTTTAAGTATGGAGGAATTTCAATGTGTAACCTGTGCTTGTTTAAAGAATTTCTGTTGGAGTGTACTACTATTTCTCTAAAAGAATGTATCACTGCAGAGATCCACAGTGTTGGGTTATAAGGCCTCCAGAAATTTCAGGACACCTTCTCCTATCTAAGGAAGCAGCTGTGAGCCGTAACTGTGTATGGATAGCTACAATTATTTCTATAGGGAGAAACTTTCATAGCATCCGATCATCAACTCCTTTTTCTCTGGTACTGATGGTAAAGTTTCTTATTTAATGAGAAACATTTTTGCCTTATGTAACTTTTACAATAATATATGTAATCTTGTTCCTTTAGTGATATATTTAGCATGGAGCTCTACATCCATGTAGAGTCAATTGACTTTAGCAGGACCCCCACATGAGCACAGGGAACCACGCTAGTAGATACCATTGCAGGATCAGGCCTAAGGTTGTTTCATCTTTCCATTTTAAACCCCTGTTTCTAATGGGTTTTTAATAACTGTTAAGAATGTACTCTGCTGAGACTTGACATACCTGGTTCTGGCCAAGAATTGTGGTGCTGGATCAGGAGTGTTAAATTTGGGGAAGATTAATTTTTTAAAGGCATTTCCTATTTTAAACTGTACATTCCGATTGCTTGGTTTTGGGAGGGGTAAGTAGAGCTTGAGTCTCAGTACATATGCACCCCTCCTGTTCTTTGGTCCACATGGCAATTATTTTAGTTTGACCCAAATTTTTACATAGATGTGCAGATGAAACAACAATATTTTAAACGGCAACTAGTGTTTACTCCACTCAATGAATTTTTACACTGCTAAAAATAATCTGTGGGTAGTTCAGAAACATTTTCCCTCACATTCTGTGTTTAAAATAACATTAAGGTCATGACCCACACTAATAAGGTAATGGAAATTCACAGATAACAAAATGCCACATGCTTTTTAGTGTTGTTGAGTTCCTCTGTCTACAGATTCCTTTGACTTTTTTTTGAGAACCAGAAGGTTTTACAGGATAGTAATGGGCTAAATCCTGGACTCACTGGAGTCAGAGTTCTGCCATAGAATTCAATGAGACCAAGGTTTGGTGCAGTAATTTGAGATATTTACCCCTGTTCCCTGCCCCTTCCTCCCCACCCCCCAATCTATTTTGTGGAAATTAGGTTTGCAATGTTATATTGCTTCCTCTGGTTCCACCATCTCTGTGGACCTACACGTTAACCAACAGAGACCTGGCCCTGTTAGTGGCTAAAAGAGAGTGGGCCTCTCAGGCATAAACATCGGAACATTTAGACACCTTTTAGACATTTTCTCAATGCTAGTTCTTAGGAAATAGTACAATGTTGTAAAAGAGGGTTTAATAGGATGAAGAAGGGGTGCGTTGTAGGTGGTGTTATCCATTTTGAATCCTTGATAATTAATTCATATTAAATTAATAACCTAAAATTCGCCAGCATATATGCATACTAATATACACATGAACACCCATCCACCCCTTCAGATAGCCGGGGACCTAGCAGTCTGCAGACTACTTCTTCTTGCCTCAGGGACACTTCTGCAAATAAGAAGCTGTGAACTGAGTTAGGCTATGCCTGTCATACTGTTTCCTAGGTTAAATTTATTTGGTCAAAAAGGATTAAATAGTTTGGGGTTATAGTGCATCGTATATAACACCACTCCCTCTCCTGGCTCAAAGCTGCTCTCACAAACGGGGGAGCTTTCAATA